CAAAATTATTTAGAATGCCATGGTTTTGCTCTATATAGGGGGAGGCCCAAGCTAAAGCTTCCCCAGTAAGAAGCCCAATAATAAACATTACCTTCTTTTTCTCTGAAGGAAACGCAGCAGGGTACATTTGGAAATATACACGACATTGATTAAGGAAACCCTTGTATTGGCGGCGGTCTCCATTAAACTTAGATGGTTGGGGCTGGGGCATATGTGAGCTAGGATCATCACGGTTCAGCAGTTGCCTCTGCAGAGCCTGAATCTCTCCCTGTTGCCTATCCACAATGCTTTCCAGTTTGGCAACTTTTTCCTGATGGGTAACCCCAAATTCCTGCAGCTCAGCAATTTGCTGCCTAAGAGGATTCACAACACTTGCTATAGCGGCCTCCATGTTTGGGCCAGATTATTCTGTCACGATATAAGGTCAGGTTCAGAGACCAGTTGCTATAGCAGTAAAAGGCTTACCTGAGACCAGCAGGATAGGTACACCAGTGGATCCCCCTGGGAATGACGCAGGCTCACCTGAGGTGCGGAGTCTAAGTATTAACAGGTATTCACCAGAGCTCCTAATGGTGCAGATGGATTGGGCTGCGTGTTAATACCAGGTCGCAGATCTCAGGATCACCCCATCAGGGAATGAGCAGACTGGGAACCAATAGCAGATCAACAGGTTAGGGATCAGACGAAAGCAGAGTCAGTCACAAGCCAAGGGTCGGTCACAAATGGTAGCAGATCAATCGTAGTACGTTAGGATGAGACGAAATCGTGGTCAGGAACAAGCCAAAGGTCAGTAGCGGAGGTGTAGACAGCAGCAGGAACAGTAGCGGGATATTGGCTGGAAAGGCACAATAATCTGGCAAGGAGGAAGTGCATGGACATGGCTTTTATAAGAAAGTTCATGGGAGGAGCAAGGAGTTCAAGGTTCAAGAGTAATCAAGGCATAAGGCAGGATTATCCAAGAATTGTCAAGGGAGCTGTCCAGCATTCCAGATAGCTCAGTGAGAAGAGACATTGCCTCTCACTGCAGAAGGACCAGGTTCGATCCCGGGCTCTGACAATCTCTCATGCAGGAAAGTGATGATTGTGATGAGAATGAACCAGAACTGGATAGTCACAATGATGTGATCAGAAGAGTTGATCTAAATATTAGGTCAACTAAAATGCCAAAAATACATTCCAACATGAGAATATCGGCATTTTTAGATTTAGTTGCAGATGATCTTAAAAACCTTGAGTGGAAAATGCCAATTGGTGACAATCTTACAAAAAAAGAAAGAAAAGCCCTTAAAGAATTAAAAGAGACCAAAAATATAGTACTTAAGAGAAGTGATAAGGGGGGTAATGTAGTTATTTTAAACGAACAAAACTATGTTAAAGAGGTGAAGCGCCTATTGGGGGATTCATCTACATATAGGAAATTAACTACTAATCCTTTCCATGTAGTGGTGAAAAAACTAAACTCTATGTTGACATTTGGTAAAGAGGCTGGTCTGCTAACCAAGAAGGAGTTTGAATATCTGAGAATTGAGGAATTTAATCATCCCACCTTTTATATCATCCCGAAAATACATAAAAATCAAGAAAATCCTCCAGGTAGACCTATTGTTTCTGCCATTAATGGTCCCTTAGATAAAATAGGGAAATACATTGACCTGTTCCTCAAAGACATGGTCCCTAATCTATCCTCTTATGTAAGAGATACTAAAGATGTTTTGGCTAAAATTGAGAATTTAATAATAAATGAAAACTCCATTCTAGTTGGAATTGATGTAGAATCACTTTATACATCAATCCCACATGAATGTGGTTTGAGGTCGACTTTCTACTTTCTTGATAAAACATACCCCACCTTGGGGGGACAGAACGAATTTATTAGTGAATTACTGGATTTTGCATTACGACATAATGTTTTCCAATTTAACAATAACTTTTATCAACAGATTAGAGGTACAAGTATGGGGGCAACCATGGGCCCCGGCCTATGCCTGTCTGCATCTAGGTTTTTGGGAGGAGCAGGTTGTCTTCAGGTCAGCAGGGTTTCTTGCACATGCCCAGATTTGGTTGAGATATATTGATGATGTTTTCCTTATATGGAGAGGAACATCGGAAGAATTAAAACTTTTTATGGAGGAGTTAAATCATAACTCCTTCAATATTGGACTTACATATCTGTTTGATGAAAGATGTATCTCTTTTCTAGACCTGGAAATTAGACTTGAGGACAAGAGACTCCTTACAAAGACATTTAGAAAACCAACTGCAGCCAATACCTTATTAGAGGCCAGAAGTTATCATCCACGTTCACTGATTTCAGGAATCCCAGTAGGACAGTTCCTGAGATGTCGGAGAAACTGTTCAAATATCAATGATTTTAGGATGGAAGCACAGGACCTCTATAAAAGGTTTAGAGAATGGGGATATTCTCACTCTCAAATTAGAAAAGCTCGAAGACGGGCATATCAAACTGATCATAAGAGTTTATTGTCCCCAAAAAAGGATGAAAAGGTTAAATTAGGTGAGCAACCTGTTAGAATGATAACTCAATTTGGAGCTCAATGACAGGCTGTGAAACAAATATTAGAAAAGCATTGGAAGATTCTAACCCAATGCCCCAAATTAAGTAAAATTGTAGGTGAGCGCCCTCAAATGGTAGCAAGAAGAGCACCAAATCTTGGTGACCTCCTTATTCATTCTGACTATCAACCGTTAAAACAAACAACATGGTTGAAATCACGTACAAAAGGGATGTATAAATGTGGAAAATGTCAGATCTGTAAATTTGTGGATCGTACAGATTTTTTCTGTGATTCAAAAAATAGCACTCACTATAAAATTCAAAGTCTTATAAATTGTTCTACAGTAAGAGTATTATATATACTGACTTGTCCTTGTAAAAAGATGTATATTGGTAAAACTAAAAGACAACTTAAAGTACGAATAGGTGAACACTTTAGAGATATCAGATCCAATGACCCTGAGAGTAATTTAGCTCAACATTATGCTAAGCATCATGGAGGTAAACTGGATGGTACAAAAGTAAAAGGCTTTTATGCATTGCATTTTCCCCAAAGGAGAGGTGATTTTGATAGAGATTTATTAAGAAAGGAAAAATATTGGATATATAAACTTGACACACTGTACCCAAAAGGGTTAAATGTAGAGTGTGATCTCCAGGTATTTCTGGATAAATAGATTTACTCGGATTTTTTATTTAACATCGCCATTCCCTTCTTTATTAATGTTAAAATAACATGTTAAAATAACATGATAAGTTTTTCCCTTTGTGGAGGTGTTCAACTGTCTGTTGGTTTAGATTTGAATTTAAATTTAAATGCGATAAAAGATCAGCTGTTGAGCTATTTAGCTTCCTTTTATTGAGAATAGCTGTATGTTAATAAATGTTCATCGTGATTTCCAGGTATTTTTGGTGAAATAACCCTATATAAGGACTTTTTAATTAACATCGCCATCTTCTGGTGGTTTTGTGGTAATTATTATTGTGATCTTTTGATATTTTTGGTTAAATAGCCATATCTAGGGATTTCCTTATTAATATCGCCATCTTCTGGTGAATTTGCGGTAATTTTTTATCTTCTTGAACATTAATAGAATTGTTAAGCCTTTCCTCTCTTTGATATATCCAGTTGCCTGTTCTTTTAATATAAGTAATGACCAGCTGCTGTGCTAAGTAATTAGCCTTTTTCTCCCATTGAGAATAGCTGCAAGTTAATAATTTGCATGAATGGGTGGGTTTAAACCCACTATAAATAGGAAACTGAAATGCAGGAGTCTCATTGGTCCTGACGAAGCTGAGTGAGATACGCCCATCGGCGAAACGCGTTGACGTCATACGTCAGATACGTCACTTCCGGTCATGCGCACTGGCGATATGCACGCCGACCTACAAGGAGGCAGCCATTTTCACATGCCATGAGTCATGCAAAAGCTGTACAGGCGCCATGGAGAGGTCGGAACCCGCGAAATGTCGGCTGATGTAAGCGGTAGTTCCCTGGATCAACACGGCAGTACTTATGAAGGATATTTCTTCTTTCTACTACCCAGTGCACAGGTGGTGAGTAGACTGTTACAGGACTAATGAAAAAGGCTCCTTGCGATTTATATTATATATACTACAGAGTGAGAGCTCTTAAAGTGACTATCCTTATATCGTTTGTCTTATTACAGGATGGGGACATTATGGTGCTTTATATAGAAACAAGGCATACTACATATATTGCAACAGGCGGAAGACCTACTGGGCCTCATCTTGTTTCAAATATTAAAGTGGTTTGTAGTCCACATGTTGTGGTGAAGAAACCATATAAAGCAGGCCTCTGCTATTTGCATCTATTTCTCCATCAAGACAACAACAGAGACTCTTTTATCTATAAGAGTCCTTGCAACTATCCACGTATATTACAGATAAATGGGCCCCAACCACATGTGCCTCTATAGGGTTGTACTGCATGTATCCATTAATATATCATTGGGGTTATTTCCCTTTCTCCATTCAATGTTTTACCCACATTGCCTTATATAGGCTTAGGGTTATGCCTCTCTCCAGATGGTAACTGTTTCTGTCTTTTTTGCCTGCATGTGATATTATATACCCATGGTATAATTTTTGGAAAATCTCCTTCGGGGAGTGTAACCTATAAGTAACAATACATATAGCATATTATATTTCATACCTATGGTATAATTTTTTGAACATACCTCCTACAGGGAGTGTAACCTATGTGCCAGTGCTGCAAATGCTTTAGACTAGGTGGTCATAGCCTTTGCAGCACATATATCTAGACCGGTCTTGGTGTGATTTTAATGGTTTTAGGTCTGTGTGTATTGTCTCCTACTGGGGTGATGGTAAACCAGGGCGATTGCCCGTGTGTCAATTATTAATGTGTAATAAAGCATAATTTTTGGAAATTTTTCTGAGTATCGCATTGTGTTTATAATGTAGCCGCTTTCCTGTGAATCTCTTTTCACAAATCCCTTTTTGGTCTTGAAATTTCCACTGGCCTGCTCACCAATGGTGAGTGGAAATTATGGTGGGGGCCAGTGTGTCTCCCAGGGCCGTCTTGCTGAGCAGGCTCGAAGCTCAGGCCGGATCTGTCATTAGCACTGGGAGCCGTCAGACTGCTCAGTAGCTGAGCGCAGTGAAAGCAAAGCAAGGAGTGTGTGCTGTGCTCTCTGCCTCCCCCTAGAGTGCAGTACCCGACTCTGTGAGTGAACAACGAAGTACTGTAACTTTTTATGGGGTTGTGTATGTGTACGTGTACATGTGTGTGTTTGTGTGTGTCTGTGTATGCATGTACAGTCGTACATGTGTCTGTGTGTATGTACATGTGTGTATTTGTACATGTGTCTGCGTGTATGTACATGTATGTGTGTGTGTATGTACATGTGTCTGTGTGTGTGTGTACATGTGTCTGTGTGTGTGTATGTACATGTGTGTGTGTGTATGTACGTACATGTGTCTGTGTGTACATGTATCTGTGTATGTTCATGTGTATGTATGTACATGTGTCTGTGCGTGTGTATTTCTGTGTATGTACATGTATATGTGTATGCATGTCTGTACATGCCTGTGTGTGCATACATGTGTCTGTACGTGCCTGTGTGTGTATACATGTGTCTGTATGTGTGTGTTTTAATTATTTCTGTGTGTGTATATGTGTGTGTGTATGTACATGTCTGTGTGTGTGTACAGGTGTCTCTGTTTCTGTGTGTTTGTTGGTGGCGAGTAGCTCTAAGGCCTGGCTCGTAGCTCAGAACTTGAAATTTTTAGCCTTGCTCTAGCTACTGACTAGATTCCTTAGGCAATACCCCATACAAGTTCTTTCATGTTGAGAGAAGGATTTAGGCCCAATCTCAGGTAACCAATGGAAGGAAGCATTTGCAGCTATTACAACTTGCTTGCTCAATACAGCACAGAGGCTTTCCCAATTGTATATTTTGCATCGTGTTCATTATACATCGCAGAGACTGCATAAAATGGGTATCCAGCCTGACCCCTGCTGTATTAAGTGCTTACGTGACCATGGAGATTTTCTCCACCTACTCTGAAGATGCCCCAAGCTTCACCTGTATTGGAGAGGAGTGAATGACATTATTAATTCGGTTTTTCAATCCTCTGTCCCTGTTTTTGGTGAAGCTATTCACTCAAGAAGCTATTTCCAGGGCCTTATTTGTGGCCTGCAAGTTCATTTTAACCCATTGCAAGTCAGTCTCATCCCCTTCTGTAAAGGCGTGGATACAGGCTGTAGCCAACTCTCTGAGATTGGAGAAAATTATTTACCAACAAAGACATTTTTTCATTGTCAACATAGAGGATGCCCAAATATATTTGATAAGCTATGGGCTCCATGGCTGGATACCCCTAGCTTTGGCCCGTTGGAGTTGGTCCAGATGCACATGTTGCAAGGCCCTTTGGGTTAATGTATAACCAGGGACGGATTGACAACTCATGGGGCCCCCAGGCAATAGGGGATCATGGGGCCCCTGTGTCCTCGCCCACACTCAAATCACACCCAAAAAAGCCTATGAAAGGTACCAGGGACATCTCATGGGACCCCCTACTGACCCCGGGGCCTCGGGCAGTGCCCGAGTTCTCCAATGGTCTGTCCGCCCCTGTGTACAACTCCTCCTGAGCTATTCTCATGTAATGAATGGTCTGTTTGCTACCCCGCATGCGGGGACTTATGAATAGGCATTTCTAACGCCTTTAACCTTGTAACACTGTAGAGATGTAAGAGCTGTGTCTGTAATTGTTGTATTCATCATTTTCTGTTTTGTTCAAATGCTGTACAATTTGTCTGCTGTACCTGTCGGAGACTATTTTCAATAAGCCTCTTCTGATTTAAAAATAAAAATCAGACTGATTCTGCCTGCAACACATAGTGGAAGCTCAGAACATATTTGCAATTTGCTTTTAAAGGTTTATTTTCCATGCAAAGACTTTTAGTGATTATAATCCCAAAGTACTTAAATAATAATAATACAGTTTTAAAAGGTGAATCTGACTGCACAGTAGTTGGGGGTCTGGCAGGGGCGGACTGACCATTTGGAAACTCGGGCACTGCCCGAGGGTCCGGGGTCAGTAGGGGGCCCCATGAGATGCCCCTGGTACCTTTTTCATAGGCTTTTTTGAGTTTTGGCAAGGACACAGGGGCCCCATGATCCCCTATTGCCCGGGGGCCCCATGAGTTGTCAGTCCGCTCCTGGGGTCTGGGGAATAGAGGCATATAGACTTCTGACAGTATATTTTCAAGATGAAGTATTCACCAAATTCTACTTTAATTATTTATTTGTTACAGATACTTATATAGTGCTGTCAATTTACACAGCACTTTACATATATATTGTACATTCACATCAGTCCCTAACCCTCAAGGGGTGTACAATCTAAGGTCCCTAACTCATATTCATACATACACATACTAGGGCCAATTTAGACAGGATCCAATTAACCCATCAACATGTCTTTGGAATGTGGGAGAAATTCCGGAGTAACACGGAGGAAACCCAGGCAGGCACAGGGAGAACATACAAACTCCAGGCAGGTGGTGCCGTGGTTGGGATTCAAACTAACGACCCTAGTACTGCCAGGCACTAGCCAAATAGGTAAATCTAAGTCAATATTATAATTGAAATTGTTTGTTCAAAAAACAGTATTAGGTTTTAGCATTTTATGAACAACTCACAAAGAAACACACGATATTATATAACTTTTTGAATTGAGGAAAATAGTGACCAAACAATTAAGCAGCTAATGCACAATGTGAGTTTTATTGGTAATCTAAGACATCGTGGTCTTTTGAGATGCTACAGTGCTTCGTTTTGCAACATGAAGTACATTTATCACATGGAACACTTAGGTATTGACTTAAACTACTCTCTATATGCCGGCTATGGAGCTGATTTACTTAAACTGGAGAATGCAAAATCTGGTGCAGCTCTACATAGAAATCAATCAGCTTCCAGTTTTTCTTGTCAAAGCTTCATTGAACAAGCTGAAGTCAGAAGCTGAAACGGCTACCATGCACAGCTACACCAGAGTTTGCACTCTCCAGTTTTAGTAAATCAACCCCCATGTGTCTTTACTAGTAAATTTGTCCTTAAATTTAAATCTGGTCTTATTAATATAATATAACATTTTGGAAAGAATATACAAACTAAAATGCCAGCACTGGAACATAGTATAGCAAATATCTCTACCAGCACGGTGTTTTTCCCTGTGCTACTCATATAGGCTGGGATAAAAGTGATCCAGACACTGCAGAACACCAGCATGCTGAAGGTGATGTATTTGGCCTCATTGAAACTATCTGGTAAATTTCTGGCCAGGAAAGCCATAAACAAACTGATAGCTGATAAAAGTCCCAAAAATCCCAGGAGTATGGAAAATGCCACCATGGATCCTTCATTACACTGAATTATAATTTTGTCAACATACAAGTAAACATTGCTTTCTGGGAATGGAGGAGAAATAAGTAACCAAATTAAAGTGATTATTATTTGTATAACTAAACAAATGAGAACCAGACAGTAAGACTTTTTCACCCCAATGAATTTCCTCCAGAAGCTCCTCGGTTTGGTGGCTTTGAAGGCTGAGTAGACCATGATGGTCTTGGCCAAAATAGAGGAAATAGCTACAGTAAAAATGATTCCAAATGATGTCTGACGCAGCATACAGGATACAAATACAGGGCGTCCCAGAAACAAAAACACACAGAGAAAACTCAGCATGATGGAGACCAAGAGAACAAGGCTTAGGTTTTTGTTGTTGGCTCTGACTATTGGAGAGTTCCGGAATGAAATGACGATACCAATGATTATGGCAGTTTTCAGAAAACACATTGCAGACAGGATGGAAACCAGAAGAGCCATTGTATCATTGTTGTAGGACAGATATTCCAAAGGTTTCTGTACACACTTGTTGCGGTCATTTGGCCATTGGTCTTCTGGGCACTTATGGCATGACCCTTTGTCTAAAAATTAAGCAAGAAGTTACACTGTTCCAAACCGCCTTAACCCCTTGATACTCTTCACACACAACTCACTGCACTGGGCTTTATATCTTGGGTCGGCTTATTTCCCTTTGTGCCGGGAGTGCACCGCACAGGGCACTCCTAACACAGAGACTGGTGTCTCACCATGAGCCTCGGGTCCCGTACTAATGATCAGGACCCGAAACTCCCAGTTCCATCACCTGATTGCTGTGATAGTCTCTGATTGTCTATCACAGTGATCAGTCATTTTGAAGCCCCTGCACTGCCCCCGTCTGGCCGTTTATGTACATGGGCTGGTCGGGAAGTAGTTAATGTGTCAATTGTTCACCAGACAGCAGCATTAACTTTCCCATGATGGATATTACAATCTTGCCTGCCAAGTGCTCTGGGAATGGTTAGGACACAGACTGTCTGTATTATTTAAACATGTGTAAAGCAATACCCTGTGTTACAAACACAGCATGCATCATGACTGGGGAAGGTCCCTTCAGACTAGTCTGTAGGGTAATAAAGTGGTTAAGTGATGGCAGAAGGGCAGGATGGTGAAGGCGCGTGATTTGGATTGTGCTGGCAGATTATTGGTAGGAGGAAGAAAAAGGAGGGGGCTCCTGCATCACCTTAAGTCCTGTAACATACTGGTCACTCAGTTGGCGCCCTTCCACGAAGAAAGAAGTCCCCACCCATCCTCCCCAAGTTTTTATTTTTGGGTTTTGTTGTTATGGCTTTGCTTATGACATTTTTTAAGAAAATAAATACATAAATAAATTATTGGAAAAAAAAAAAAAAAGAAAAGAATACATACATAAATTAAAAAATAAAAAAGTGCAGTTTTTTCTTACAAGACAATGAATAAATAAATACAAAGTAATTAATTAAGAGACAACTTGTTGTTAATGGTTCCAGTCATGTATATTTGTTGTCCCGCGGTATTTTTTGTCACAGCGGGCTGAGGTGGCAGGTGGCTGGTAGAGGCGGTGGGAATTGGTAGCAGGAGGCCCAAGTAAGCCCCTGAGCCTAACCTGGACAGCTGGAGGCTGAATTGGCTCCTGCTAAGGAAGAAAAGTGGAGATACGCCACTCAGCACTGCTAAAAGGGATTTGGTGTTAGATATGTTTTATTGGTTGATTGTTCATTATTCAAAGATATCAATAATAATAATAAAGTATCAATGCAGTTAAAAGTATCTTTGTTGTGAGATTAAATGAGGATGAAAAAAGAGGGAAAGAGAAAATGAGGGAAGGAGAGAGATAAATTGAAAGACAAATATAGAGAGATGGAGAGAAAGGCAGGAAGAGAGAAGGAGATAGAAGTAAAGTCGTGCACAGCAGAGAATCCACACAAGACAGTTACATGACTACAGCATGAATTAAGAGCGGGGTGGGGGGGTTTTAAACTGTAAAATCAAGTACATTTATTATTTTTTATAACATATTTGACTTGGCTAATCATGGCTCTCACAGTGCATTGTGCTGTGATTGGCCAAAGAATTGCACCTGACCTATGGTCAAGTGCATTGCTTTGGCCAATCATGGCTCTCACAATGCAC